ATAATTAATTTTATTGTATTCATTTGCTTTCCCAAAAATTATACAAATGTTTTGTTGAAAAGATCTCTCCCTTTAATATGCTCATTTCCAATTATTTGTAAACGCTATTGCATTTGGGACTGGAAGTACTTGAAATGACGTCACATGAAGGTTTTCAAAAACTCAATAGTTTTTTTGTGAAAAGAGTTTCAAATTTCGAAGTTGCAGTAACGCATAAATGCCATTTTCTTGAAAACGACTCCAAATTTGTTAATGAAAATTGCCATTTAGGACGAGGTTTTACTGTTGTTTAGTAATCTTAAAATAATATTTTCGTTCTACTATTAGGAAGCCGAAAAATTAAGAAACTGTCAGAAAATGTCCTTAGGGCGGCGATAGGTGGCAGCCGGCAAGAGTTTGTGGCAAGTCTGTAGTAGCACTAGCTTTCTCTCTAAAAGATGAGTTATGGGGCTGCTTCTCCCTAAGGTGTGATATTCCGGGGTGAATTTTGAGTGATAATTTGATATTCTTATAAAAACAGATTAGTCAGGGATTGGTAAGTGGAATTTTGTGTTTTTACACCACAGTTCATTCACAGTCGTCCGAAACATAATAGTTACTGCTGTCATTAGCTAGCAAACAGGTATGGAAGTGGCTGTTACTAAATCGAGCGATAGCGCTTCTTTGAATGGAGAACGCCTACGCCACATTCACCTACATCTCATCTGTTTCAATTGCTCTTAAAGGACGGCAGACTATTAAATTCTTTAACAGACGCCGGCCGTTAAGTATTTTTTAGTCTCTGTTTGGTAGAGTTATGGCAATATAACGCTGCAGTATTTCGAAAAAGAAGTATTTTAATGACTAATTTTTGTGATTTCTGACTCGTGTAACGGAAATGAATACCCCGTTATTTAGTGTCCCTCTTCATTATTACATATGATTTGAAATTCTCCTTTACATGGAGTCTTCGCTTTTCACTCTTCCATTTAGAATGGTTCCAGGGAAGTTTCTCATTATATACAATTTCGTCCTAAGCAAACGTGACCTCGTGTTCGACTTTATTGCCTTGTAACTCTCCAAGAAACCATTAGAATGTCTAATAGGTAGATCGCATCGCCTGCCTATCGATTTATGTTCTCGATCGAAGAGAAGCCCAACGAATTCTGATGGACGCTAATACTCGGTATGTTGATCGTTAGATCAGTAATCTTGATTATGAATAACAGGTTTTGGTCCTTTGTGGGACATTGACAAAAAGCAATAAAAGCCGGCTCAACTCAAGGAGCAGTAGAGGCGCTAATTCCACAGGCCAAACTAAGGGTTATCGAGTTGTTCGGGCCGACACGTCAGGTATTAGTGGTATTAAAGGAGAAAGGAGAGTGCATGTCAGTGAATATAAGCGTGAACGACATACAATGACAAGCTATCGCGCTAGTCATCATATCAGCGTCACATCAGTGTTTAATTGACCCGCGCATTAAACCAGACCTGTTGGGAGGAGAAGGAACTAGGAAATAATATAATTGAAAGGGTCAGAACGTAGAGGAAAATGTATAGACGTAACATATGGCTTCGCCCTTTTGCTTCTTATTTTTAAATGTGATTTTCATGTCATTTTAAAAAGGAAATCATGTGTTTGAGACGCGTAAATCTCGAGAGAAGTAAATTAACGTCCCAGCAAATCCTAATTTCTTGTATGTGGAACACAAATTGGGAAACATCTTTTGTCTTGATGTCTCAGTTGTTTCGCCGAGGGTTTCAGAAGTAGCTCAGTTGAAACTGAAATTTTAGAATCTAGATCTGTAACATTTGCCCAAATAATGATAAAGCTTCAATATCTTTCTGAGAATTTATCTCTAAACGTTTTGTACACGGTTTGTCCCGTCAATTTATCCTAAAGGTATTCAAAGCGTTTAATGTATTAATTAAAAAGAAATAATATTCTTGTGTCAACATTTTCCCCATTGCACTAATGAATATCAGATTGTTTACCGTTTTAACTTTAATTGAAGATGTGCTATATTTTCTATTAGGTAAAACGTGCGTAAATCCATTCAGTGCCCTTACATTATGATTTTTGCTAGTTTCTAGTAAGCGACAAAACGGTGTTACCTATGTGGAAAATGAAAACGCGAGACGATTTATTCCATATTTTGATAGACGAGGACCATCTCCCTCTTACAGATAGGAGCCTTAGCGGAAAATTTGTTGCATATTTGAATCTTACATCTGCAAAATGAAACAATTTTACAAAATAAAAATAGGAAATTCCAACCTTCAATATAATATATTACACTACATTATCATCGTTGACGATGGACTAAACTTAACCAACTATAAACATCAAAAAGTATTATTCATTCCTCCTGTACAATTTTACTTTTTTCACATTGGAGGCTGTGTACGATCAACGACGATATGCAAGATTAAACTACTGTGACAGGCATAACACGCATAGGTAAAGTAGTGATGCAACAAGAGGGGGTGCCCATAATCTTTGTTAGTAGAACAGCTAGCTTGTATTGTGTGCAAATAATGAAAAGAACATTACAAATCCTAAGTTCTCACAACGTTCGTGGAATATCGTTCCCCAAAGCCGAATGCGTGCAAAAATTATCAAAACTTACTAAAAGTTTATTAGAAGGGATTGTCGGAGTATCGTAAGAGACAGCGTTGTGTGATTGAATTCTTGAATGCAGAAGGTGGAATATAGCAGATGAATGGTGTCGCTTTACCCCCCTCGCTTCATCTGCTGTCACCCAGCGGTCACCACGAATGACGTCATCGACTTGCTGAATGTTGCATGGAGTGACTGCAGTCAACAACCTGCCGCTCCTCTGTCCGTTAGCCAACGGCGTTTGGCCTTAACTTCATTGCGGGGACGAACATATCGTCTAGGAGTGCTAACATCCCCTGTTACATCACCGTACGCATATTGAGACACTCCTGAAAACTAATGGGCATTTCAGGTTATGCGTTCAAGGGTTCAATACCCAACGAGGTCTCTTACAAATACCGATGTCGGTCATTTTGCAAACGACTGCTGTGCTGCCACATATTGGCGAAAAAAGTTACTACTGCGGTGGGTGCAAAATAAAAATTAATGCGAGAAAGTATGTGCTGTTATAGCACCACTAGTTTTCTCATGAGAGAAGATTGAAATGAAATGAAGATCTGTAGCCTGCACAAAATTACTGATAACTAAAAAGTGTTACTGTAGGAGGTCTGTTCCAGCATTTTTTTGGACTCCTTACTTAATCTGCTGTATATTATTGTAACTTTCTAGTAAAACGTTAACTGGCCTTACAGAACAAGACTGTCATTGTTTAAGAATTATTATCGTTGCCTCACAAATCTCATTTTCGCTCCTTGAGACCTAATTCTGTCGCTGTAACCATAACTTGTGCTCACAATAAAACGAGTTACAACCCTTTGTTCACGTTTTGTAGCCATTGATAATGGCCAATACCGTCTATGACTTGGTAACGCTCTTCACTTTAGAGCGAAAAAATATGTTAGCGCTTTAAATTTTATATACAGGAGATTGTGGTTGAAGGGGTCCCGGATTCTCTGAACCACAACCCGGCTCTTATTGTCGCATGGTCCGTCTATTCAGACGTCAAACATTCAAGTCCAGTACTAGTTGAGTAAATCACTACGAAGATCGGAGCATAAGTCGTACCGACTATTTTTGTTGTGTGAGAATACGATCGCGGGTGGGAAATGTGAAATATTCACATGAAACGACAAGGTATGAACCAAGTGCACGGACATTTAACGACACGCCAAAATTGATTTTCTCAAATTTATATAGGTATTTGTAAGTACAGTACTGATTTCATGTTCCAACGCATTACAGCACGTACGAGTTCACAATATTCCGAAAGTATTACATACCCGCTCTAAAGGCCCTACTATGCAGAAGCTCTATAACCGCATGTGCCACATCGCTGGGCACTCACAGGTCGTCGCGAGCGTTGCTGGTCACTGGTCGCTGCGCGTCCGCGCAGAAACTCCCCTGCCCCTCTCGCGACTGTTCCCTGTGGAAAGGCATTGTTCCCAACAGCCTTCCCTGTGGCATTCTCGCGTAGTTCTCCCATGGACAACGACTATCTTGGTGTGTCAACTCTGCTCAAAACGGGCTACATGCATTTCGCCTGATATCACATTGCTCTCTGATCTAATAGACACACTCACGTAGCCATCTGTTGCTGTGAACACACATTAGTACAGCACTTTGTTCGTGCTAGAAATAAAATTGTGTGATCCAATGACATTTCTTTTAGAAAAAAAATAGTTGCCGTACTTCCGTCCCATTCCTCGTATTTAAGCATAGCTTAATTCGTCACTCTGCCGTAGGGTCTATTGAGACATCAGGAAGCCCCCTCTTCTCAGGTTCAGTTGGTCGGTCAGTCTTCTTCTGGTATGGAGTACATGAATCGCTATCGCTAGAATTTCAGAAAGGCAGAAAATAGTAGAATGTCACTCTTATACTTTTACCGTATGTAGTAGACGTATAAAAGAGAAAGTGCTAAATCAATGCCACACAAAAATGAGTGGAAGGATTATAGAAAGATTTGTGTCTGGTGTGAATATAAATATCGCCTTCTTGATTTGTAAGAAATTTTGAATTTTTTTGAGAATAAATTTTTACATAACACTGAATCCCAAGCTTACTAATAAAACAGTTTTTTGTGCTCTACTGATTAATTTTGTTTAATTTTATCTCTTGTCTAAGAACTTTGCCTGATTTAACATCACATATTGTATTGGGTGAAGTTCCAATGTCCAATTAACCGGAGTCTACTTTTTATTTTCAACGTGGTTTCACATAGTTTCTCATGTTTTAAATTCCACTCAATAACAGCGACTTACGTAGAATAATATTTATTTTACATTGGAATAACATGTCTATGTTTAGTGTTTTAAGATATTTCATTTACATAACTGTCGAATCACACGCGAGAAGGCATCCTTCCTTTCCGGTTTGTCGATGTTATTGAATCGTCCTCTCACAGATCAGCCCTTGAGAATTCGCGAGCGCCTCCCCCAACAGGATGCGCGGCCAAGAAGTGCGCTGTCAGCGGCTACAATAGGCGACCACACCTCCGATCAGGACAGGCAGGACGACAGCGGTGAGTGGGCTGTAAGGGCGGAAACCTCTCGTTCAAACACGAACGTCAAGACGGGACACGGTGCCAATTACTTTTGATGATGCCTCTTTACACGAATGAAAATTAACATGCTAATCGCTCAGATATTATGGAAATGTAATGTGGAGTACCATGTTAAATATTTAATCGGAAAAATTAGGTATTTAAATGTAAAATCGCGATGTAAAAATGGAAATAAACAGTGTTCTTTTAAAAATGTATAAAAAGTGGTGCTGGACTCATGCGAACGAAATATTCGGACTAAGTTTTAATTCTGCAGCATTGCAATTGTTCCTACTTTGCTCCCAAATAGTGACAATGATAGGAGACGAGAGGTTGTGAGAATGACGCCACAAAATGATTTTCTCTAGTTCCATTTGTAGGCTGGAGTTTTCGTCGGAAATCGTAAGCTTCCAAGCGTAGACAAACTTAAATTCGTTTTCGGTGGCAGCGTTCGAAGAGACGAAAGCTGCATGACCATTTCAGTTGCTCAGGCGACCGCCGCAGCCCAGGGTTGTAGTTCCAGCCATACCAGCAGGAATCCCACTTAATCAACTAAATAAAAATTTCTCAGTCTTCTCTGGGTTGTCTAATATCCTGAATATTTTTAGCTCTTCTTCCTCTTCTTCTTCTTCTTCTTATTATTATTATTGTTATTATTATTATTATTATTATTATTATTATTATTATTTGTGTATTCGCCACTTCTGACTACGCAACACATTTCTCAGGGCTCAGTTGTGTCCTATCCTGGAGAGAGCAAGGTGTGTAATAATTGTTATCAGTCTTTCGGGTGCATCCCTTGGTTAAGCAAGGTTGTTAGCCTTGAATAAGAGGAGGATAGGTCGATGTTGTTGTTGTTGTTGTTATTATTATGTATTGTTTTTTATTATTTAATAGTATATATTATTGTTGTTATTATTATCTAAACCAGAGTAGTCACCAGGGTGGTAACCGTTGAAAGGGGGCAAAGGACCTGGGTTCGTACCCACATGGAGAATCGATCGGTGAATTAGGGGTCTCTCTGCAGTCGGCCCTAGGGAGTTGTGCTTAGGCCGAAAAAGGCGGTCGTGACATAAAGACACAAATTACTGAACTGAAATGTACTGAAAATGAGTGAGAAACAATATCTACGTAATATATTAATGTAATTATTTTAGTTGCTTACTGTTCGGGTGATTTGAGACTTTCGTTACTAAGAAATGATGCATTAATAAATACGGTGAAGACGATAGAATGCTTTGTTTGCCGTTCCTTATAACCCACGACCCTAAGTTTAAAAGATTAGAATTGTGATGGGTCACGTTCACCGCCGCCGAGTCACAACTATTACTCGGCGTTTAAATCAGGGATGAGCACGGACTTATCACACACATTTATAATTTGATAAGATTTTTCCCGTCTACCCTCTCGCTGAGATACACACATTCACTAACGTAATGTTTGAGAACGTGGAAACTATGACAGATAAGAGAGATTTTGATTGGCAATATAAACATTTTTAATACTTTCTAGAAATTTGGATTCATACAAAAAGATGAAAGACGCAATGAGCAATTATAGCACTCTCTTAATCTCAATTATTTTAGATTGAACACTGTCTGTACATTTTTAATACAGTCATACCAACCAATTTTAGTCGGTATTACAATTTATAAATTCGGGCGGGTCAGCTTCACATTTCCCGCGAGTTGCTCGTCCCTCGTAGCAATCGTACTACCGCGGCGAGCCGTGCCTCAGCTGCGGATCTCCGGCCAGGTCATTCACCTACGTGCCATCAGCTGCTTCCAGTTCTCTCGCGCCGCTGCTTCGTTTGGTCGTTAACGTCACCGCACAGTTCCCGCTCACCCGCTGTCGTCTTTGCTGCGATGCGCATCGTTTGGCAATGATGCCCCCGAACCTTTTTTACGCATCATACACTCCTGCACCAGAAACTGTGTGAGTATTTTCAAGTAGTTCACGCGCACACTTAACTGGTATTATTTGCGAGGCATAGTTATTCACAGTGCCTACGTTGAGTGCGCTATGTTCACGTTCACAGAGCCTGTGTCGTCGAGAAACATCGGTGCCCTCACCACCTTATTTCTGTCCCCAGCCCTTTCACTACCCTGTCGTAGGCGAAGTTCTATCAAGAATCTCCTCGTCTCGTGCTGTTGCTCATAAAAAAAGTATGTCAACGGTCATCTCTCAGCCCTCTGATGAGCAATCCACGCAATTGTTTACGATCGTGTTCACATTTGTGGCCTACACACGTTTTCTCGAGAGAAAACCCCTACTTCGTAGCAGTGAAGCTTTGTCAAAGTCCTGTTTGAAGCCGATTCTCCAGGAGCTCCGGTCCCTTCCGCGAGGCTGCTCCATCCACACCGGGCTTTATACACTTCGTTATTCTATAATATTTTCTTCTATTTTAGCACACGTTAATGATATTTATATTAGATTAATTATTATATTAATATACCAATGGAAGTGTGATTTCAGCTCATCTATCGATCTGGCCGTTTTGTTACGAGCCGACTTACAATACCAAAGATCTCGACCTATACATATTTTAAACAGTTCGACTCGTCGCAACTACTAGCGATGGACAACGGCCACGGCGGCGCCGTCAGAGGCCCATAAACCTGGCCAAAGGTATCCCCCCCCCCCCC